GAGAAAACACGGCCTTGCTTTCAGCATCTGCAACCGAACGACACGCTTCGGCTTTGGCTGTTAGTCAGGCAGTTGTGTTTAGAGAATTGCGAGAAAGCACAGTAATTTCTAATCAACGTTCGTACTGATTTTGTCTTTAAATAGATGCGGGTAGATCATGAATAGCACGTAGGACTTTGAGTGTAATCCTGCCGCTGCTGAGATCAGGGAAGGTTTCCCGCTGACTTTCCCGAGGCCAGGATTTCACCTCCAGTTTCTATTCCTGGCATTGCCACTACCTCTGTGACCTTCTGCAAGTTTCTTAGCTTCCTGCTGCCTCATTTTCCTCACATTCGTGGCGTTGTTGCAAAGTTGGTGTTCGTATTCTTTGCGATCGTAAATACTAAGCGGTATAGATTTCTAATACGTACCAGTGTTTATTCCTGTGTATGTTTTAATGCGACGGAGAGGGGGTTGCTGGCAACCACAGCAGGACAAATTATCGACCTGTTCCTGCAAACCTTGTTTGTGCCCTCTGACTCCCAGTTAAATTGCCATTTATGGGGAAAAATGATTACGCGGATAAGGGCTGGATCTCGGTGTGACGGTGTTTGTGCTGGGGTACGTGTACATGCGATACCGTATCTGCCTTTCAAATGCATCATCAGGAGCTGAGGTTTTCTCTTGGGTCAAAGTTTTGGGATTCTGATTGGCATTAAACAACAGACATCAGTATAGTTTTGCCCTGGAAGCAAATCCTCAAACAATCTGTCTGTGCAAAGGACATCAGCTCTTAGTAAACTTGCAACTAAATCTGTCATTGTAGCTACTTCAAGAGGCTGCTTCATTCTTTTTGTTTTGTGAAAGAAGAATTCTGATAAATGGGGATGAAATTACGAATCTCACTGAGGTCTTCTGATAGCACTTTGAAACACCTAGCTGAGATCAGGACTCCCAACGTGCCTTGTCCCAAAGACTATAGTCACATGGTGAAAAGGTAAGGAGTGAGGCAAAAAAATGTGTTTCAGAGGTGGGGGCAGGCCCCACAGGAGGGCTCAGCAGTCGAGACCATGCCCACGATCACCCAGCATGGGGAATTGCAGGGGACCGAGCCCAGCGCCGCTGCACTCCACGCCGGTGCCGTGGCCGGGTGCCAGCCTGTGGCCTGGGCTTGGCCGAGGGACCCCTCTGCCGAGGGACCGGGCAGGGGCGGTGGGCAGGGGGTGGCTGAGCATAGCAGGCATAGCAGGGAAGCTTTCTCTGCAGGGAGCAGCTCTCTGAGGCTCGTTCTGGAGCGTGCTCACCTATTCCTGGTGAATATCTCCCCATGTTCATGTTCATGGGTTGCACTCATGTGGACTCCCATGAACTGCTTGGGCTCAGCAGCCCAGAAACCTCCGCTAACTTATCCGGCTTTCACAGTCTCTCTGAGTAGATTTGCAGTTGAGGGTTAAGATATGGAAATTGCATTTTTAAAGCTAAAGATCTGGTCCCAAGTGCTCTGCTGAGGGCTGTCCTGCAACTCCAGGGAGAGGCCTGGGAGTCCTGTGCTCCAAATCTTGGATGGTCAGCAAGGGAGCCTTGTTCCTGGAAAGCTCTTGGTGACAGAGCAGAGCCCCTTGGATGTCCAGTCTCCAAAACTGGAGACAGCCGTTCAGCCACAGCTCCGCAGGGAGAAGGGGCCAGCTCAGACTGTAGGTGTCACCTTTGAATAGGGGCAGAAATCGCCGTTCAGCTGATTCTGGGTAGCTGCCTTCTTTCCAGCTCTGTGTGTGTGTATATATACAACTGTCAGAAGCACGAGGGCATAGACCATCCTTCAAGCTAAAGAGGGCTATCACTTACCCTTGGCTTTTGTTATGGATGATGTTGTTTTCTAGAGTTCTAACCTCATACATAACTCCTCAAAGCCACAGAGTATGTGGTCACTGTGAAGGCTTCCACCACCAGTTGCTTTGGCAAGTTAGAACTAGTCTGGAAAAGAAAAGTAACAGCTACAGCAGCAAGGCAGGGATCAGAGCAGGGTCACTTCCAGACCCAACCCTACTTGCTGCGGTACAACCATCCTTTTGGGAGCTGCGCTTGCGAGGCTGGGGCGAGGGGAGCTGGTGCTTCTTAGCACCCTTGGGAGTGACAGCCCTAGTCTCTGTGCTTTGGCTCTCGTGCCTCTGGCATAGGCTGAAGGTTCCTGCCTTGCTTCGCCACATAGAAATGTGGCCATCATCACTTGCTGGGTGCAGCCCTTGACGTGGGGAGCTTTGGTGTTATTAGCTGGGAGATGTGGTGGCCCTGTAAAGCATTATTAAGTCAGCCAGCAGCAGCAGCTAATCCTTATTAACTCCCAACACCTCCCAAGTGATTGTGCTGTGTGAAATGACCAAAGTCACGCATCGAACTAGAGGCTCAAAATGCTGTTGCAATCTCCACTTGACTTCAGAAGCAATGGAGGGAAGATATCAGTTGTTGAGAGTTTGGTTCTGAAACCGTTTGGGGTAACGGGTGGACACAGCCTCAGAGTGCCGTGAGTTCATCCGCTGCCTTCTGGTAACATTAGAGACGCTCGAATGGCTTACAGATGCTATTGAAGCCTCAGGACTAAATTGCAGCTTCGTTAATAGCTCTTGGCTCTTGCATCATCACCTGTGACACAGAGCTGTCTAACGGCTGCGGAGCGGAACGGCACGTTCCTCCCTTCGCCCACGGGGGCTGTGGGGTGGTGAAGCAGCGGCAGCCTCAGGTCACTGCCCGTGGCCCCCCAGCCTCCCATTGCAAGGGCCCCAGGAGCCCCAGGAGAGATGTCCCCATCCCTGCTCTCCGGCAGCAGCACGGCCATCACCAGCGATGTCCCCATTTGCCTGTGAAGGCAGCTCCCGCCTCTGCCTGCCTCGGTGGCCTTAGTGCTGACGGAGTTTCACACGTGGACAAAATGAGTTGCTCTCCCCCAGACACGATACCTCTGACATTGCTGCCACAAGCTGAGAGCTGTTTCTCAAGGGAAACGGTGAAAGTCGCATTGGACAGGCAAAGCTGATCTAAACCCGCTGAGGATTTCCCATAGCAACTTTGGAAACAGACTCTTTTTTCCCCCCATACACAGGTAAATTATGCAGGCTTTTTATCTTCCAAATCAGAGACAACAAACAGATCTGAATTCCAGAATGTTTTTCTTTGGCTTTGTTTACAGCTTGGTATTTATCAACTATTTATTTTTAGAGGAAAAAAATTTCATTGGTAAAAAAGGGTAATTTCCTACTTAAAAGGAGGAGGGAAAGTTCAATGGAAAATTTGCAGCCATTTCTACTAAAGACATTTCAACTAGACAGAACAAAGTGCTTGAAAATAGCACTACATATCCCCCGGGCTTCGTCCAACCTACTTTCTGACGTTTCCCGAGATGAGGTGCCACAACTCCCGTCAAGAAGCTGCTCCAGAGCCCAGCACATCGTGCTTTCACAGCCCCCCCGCAGCCAGGGCTGGCAGGAGGGTATATGCCGTAGTACGATTTGTACTCCTAGCCTAGGGCAGATGCCAGGTAACTTCCATAGCTGTTGCACTGGCACAAGTAAATTACCCCCACACACCCCCTTTAACAAATCCCCATCATTGCCAGCTCTCATGGTACAAAGAACGAATGCCACCTCTCTTGTCTATTAATTACGGTGCCATCAGGAAAGGCTAGGTGACTCACAAGACTTAAAAATCATCACCTTGCCACTCAGAAGAATAGGAATGATTAGGATGTTAAGTCTGGAGCTAGATTTTTTTTTTTCCCCTGGTTCCACTTTAAAATGCCCAACACTGAGGGACTGCACGTCTCTGGGGTTCCTGGAAATGCCTGCGGTTTCCTTGCACAGAGCATGCATGCCTTACCTTCAGCTAGGCAGGACTAAGCAGGCTGAGCCAGGGCTATTTTCACTTACATGACATTGTTCCACAGGGAAGCTTTAAGCCGGTGTAAATCATACCTCCCACAATAAGCACCTTAAATGAGAAGCAGGATCTTTGTATCTGTTGCTTTTATGTATCACACCAGCCTTTTTCATGCTTTCCCATAGCATTCATGGGGTGAATGTTTGGAGCATTTCATTCCTTGAATAGCAGACCCATCCTAAAACTCAAAATTTCCTTATTTTGCCTCCAGAAACGGCTCCCTGGGATGTGAAAAAGCCCCAGTGACAGTCCACCATATACGCCAAAGCCAGTTCCCATTACCAATATTCTTATTTTAGGCTTTATGCAGAACCTCCTCAGGCAGATGCACCCCCAGGCTGTAGAGCCCGCAGTGGGAGCCCCGAGCCAGCCCTCCCCATGGGCCAGCCAGGTCAGCCCCCTCGCACAGCTTGCCCTGACCCCCTCAAGCAGGGGCAACGGCAGGAGAACACAATTTCTATCGTTTCTACTTATTGACATGCCAGTTAAGTGTCGCAGCTGCCTCTGACCACCCTGCCTGTGCACCACCAGCATCACAAGGCGGGGTACCCACCCAGCCCCCTCCCAGCACACCCCACACCGGCTGCAGGAGAGGAACGGCAGCACTGGAGCTCCCCAAACCCTCGGCACTGGCCTCGGGGGCATTGCGACCGAGAAATCCGCCGTGGAAGCCAGGCCGATGGTTGGCTGCTGGGCTCGCAGAGGGTGCAGCAAAGTGGAGCTCCTCCGGCTCCGTGCAGCACCCCAGGAGGCAGAGCTGCACCAGCCCCTTGCGGGGGGGGTCGTACCCCAGGAGGGAGGGGGGGATGGCCGGGGCAGAGCCGGAGCAGAAGCAGGGGGGCTCAGCCTGAGCAGGGGGGGCAGCATGAAGGCAGCCCCACGCTGCGCCACAGCCCCTTCTCCCCAGCCACAGGGCATCGCCCCCCTCTCGCCCCCGCGGCGGTCTCCTGTACGTAGGGGCTGACGTTCCCCGTGGATCCCACAGTGGCCGTGGCTACGCGAGCGGTGTCCGCGGAGCCGCCGACGGGAAGGGTCACGCAGGTGCCGGGCACCGCGGCCGGTGAGGGTGGGCTGGGGCTGGCGGTGGGGCGATGCCGCAGCAGCGGGGCATGGCAGGCGGCACCCCGAAGCCGTTAGTTCGCGTTAGAGCCTCGCTGGACCCCCCCACTTCATGAAATAGTAGGACCGTGGAGACCTGACTTTAAGGTTGTCACAAATCTGGGGAGGCTTTGGCAAGAGCAAAGCTTTGAACTCGTGGCACTGCCAAGATTGCTTACTGTGGAATCGAGCTTAAATGCAGTTTGATTCGATATTGGTTGTGGGAATTATCTCAAAACGTACTACATTACCGAGCTGGGCGTGCTGCAAACAGGAGCCAAAGTGCTCACTTACTTACTTCCGAAGTTTCTATAGAAATAAAACTGAAGTCAGACGCGGATGAAGGAAGGAATGGAAGCAGCTTCCCGGGGACAGGACGGTGCACGCCGTCCCTCAGGCTTGCTGGCACGATGTCTCCCCACCCTCACCTCGGTTTGCTGTCGCTTCCCCTCCTCCTGGGCTGAGCGTGGGGAGTAAGGACGGATTCCACATCCATACGAAATGGTATTTCCCAGGATTAAGGGTTCTTTCAGGGGTTTATTTTTATCTCCCTGGTGCAGCAGCACAGGTAGGCAGCTTGCACAGCTGCTTTGCTGAAGCCATTAATTAACACATGGTGATGGACCCCCGACGCAGGCTGAGCCACACGGCGCAGGACTGACGGCAGCTCTTGTCTGCCAGGCGAATTACCAGGGAAGACATTTCTTCTTCTGGAAGACAACATGACTCTCCTTGCCGCGTAACACTGATCGGGTTAGACGGAGCATATTGTATTTTTCATGTGTTAGATCTCTCGCTGCAGTTACTGCTTCGTAATATGTGGCTTATCAAGTGAGAGCCAAAATCGTCTCTGGTGCAACTCCCACCTGGGGACTGCGGGGAGCAATCCTGTCCCAGATGCAATCCTGCTCAGTGATAAAACATTTCCTAGGGCCAAATTCAAAATAGAAATGAGCCGTTCCAATGCCAGCATTTTCTGCTCATGCAGTCTCTGAGCCTCCCAGCCCAAGCACCAGCAGGACAGGAGCCGGCCCCGAGAGGCGCTGGGGCGGTGGGATGACTTGGGGACCATTCCCCAGGGACCTTCTGAGCAGAGCTGCTTCACCCACAGCCACATCTCCGTGGAAAGGGTAGATGAGAGCTGTCGCCCACCTTGCACCCGGTGGGCTCTGCCCCTCGCAAGGGCTCCAGGGACGGGGCTCGCAAGCCCAATGTGCCGCTGCATGTCTGATCACGAGCCATCTCCGCTCCCTGCAGGCCTGGACCGTGAATTTGGTTGCGATGGAGACCGTGTCCCTGGAGCACCAGATCCAGAGCGTGCAGCGGCACATCGCTTTCCTGAAGAAGGAGCAGATGGAGCTGCTCCATGACCTGCACCTGGAGATCCTCCGCTTGCAGAAGCACTGCTCAGGTGAGCGTTGGGGTGGCCGTGGCGCGTGGGAGCTGCGTGCCCATGGAGCACGTTGGGCAGGAAAGCTCCTGCCGGCACCCCGGGGCCCAGGGCCGGTCTGGCGCGGGAGCTCGCGCTGGCGTTCGGTGGGACGCGGCGGAGGCGAGCACCAAGCCGCAGGGGATCCTGCTCGGTGTGGGAACAGGGGATCTCCATCCCCTTCAGCCTCCCACTTCTTGCGCCCCTGGCTCGGGTGCCAGCAGCCCCTCCCCAGACCGCACTACATGGCCGCCAAATCTGGTGTGGATCGAACTCCCTGAAATCGCTCCTCTGCGGATGGGTGCCAGCAGCTTCCTCCAGCTACAACACTGAAGAACCAGAGCGATTTTTATTCTGGGCATCAGCTGGCCGGGCGGGTGGTAAGACAGGAGGCTGTGTTGATAATCCATCATTAAAACCCCCTCCCTTTGTTTTCATGCCGTGCTCAGGGCACACTTCTGAATGAGGATTAGCCCCAGTAGCTCAGCGCTCTCCCCGGCTGTGTGCTCCTGCACCTTGCAGTAGATGGGCTGCAGTAGTCGCTACCCCGAGGGATTCACTGGTGTAAGGAAAGGGAAAAACCCAGCCTTAGCCAGCAAGATGGTCCTCCCTTTTCCTCCTGTGATCTGTGCTCACAAAGGTATTTTGATTATGAAAATGTAAAAGTAGTTCATCATTCCTCCCAGGAGCCAGTAGACTAGGGGAAAGAAAAGGGTTGAACACTGTCGATAACAGGGCTGTATGAGACCATGCCAAGGCCACTTTCAGAACAGGAGGAAATGTGATTTTCTTGTTTATATTTTGTTACTCTTTATTCTCTTGCACACAGAGAGGTGAAATCTGTTCCCCTCCTGCCAGCCCAGCCCAGAGCAGTCCAGCACAAGCGCCAGTGTCGGTACCCCCTTGCCGTGCTTTTCTGCTGCGGTGCTGAACGAGCACTAACGCCAGCAGCATCAGCCCATCTATTCCCCCGCCCCAGGTTGCTCCCTGCTGTGGAGGGGGGGTCCCTGCCGGGCATCCTCAGCAGCCCCTCACGCAGATGCTGCAGGCTCCCAGCCTTTCCCAAGAGTGGGGGCTGTTGCCGGGAGCCTGGCCCCTCGGGGAGGGGGCAAAGAGCTCCCCAGGGTCACGGCAGCCCCTGCAGCAGCCAGCCGGGGTCTGCCCGTCTCCAGTCCCCGGGAAGGACAGCCAGAAGCCTGGCACGGTGCTCGGGGCCCTGCCCTGGCTGTGGGGTGCACGGCCGCCAGCCCCCCACCCACAGCCCCGCTGCAGCAATGTCGTCCTCCCCTTCAGCCAGCCTGGCAAGAGCGACGGCTCCCGGCCTCCTGCCCGCCACTGAAACTCATTCCAACTTGTGCCATCGCTCTCATCAATAATTCAGCCGTAGCTAATTACTCCTTGTCTTCCAGCCTGTCATCCTCCCTGATTCCTGGGAAACAAAGACATCTCTGCACTGATAGAATTGTCTGTTTTTCCACATCCTTTCAGAGCTTTTGCTGTTCTGTTTCATTGTTTTAATGGCTTCACCTACAGCCTCTCCAGATAGGTGAGACAGTGCAGTTCTCGTGCCTGAATCAGGCTGGGGGGTTCTGAGTCCCCAGGGGCAGAAATGAGCCCATTGCACGGTTGGTTATTAGCGATCTCCTTCCCAGTGAGGCCAGATGACAGCACTCTCTGACTGGACAAGTCACATCCTTGTCTGCAAGGTGTGTGATTCTGCAACGCCGTTCTGCTAGGAGCGATGGGGGCAAAGCCCCTGGTTAGTTTTAAGATGACTTTGCTGATGGTTTGAATGCCATTATCTGGTAGGGCTGTTTGCACAAGGAAAGCGGAGTCGCTACGTCAGGACTTTCCCTGTCGTGGCCCTGCGGAGCTGTGCCACCTGCCCTGGAGCTGCTGTTTCAGACCCTGACTTTCGCACCATCCCCTCGGTCTCCCCGAGGCACCACCGTTTGAAATGCCCACCCTTCTGCAGAGCTCTGTTTCTCAGCTGCCACCTACTCAGCCCTGAGAAGCTCCGTCCGCCTGCAGCAGCAGCAGCAGCAGCAGTGGCGGTTCCCAGGTGCCAGAGCCCTCTCCGACAGAGGGAGCGACTGCTCCGAGGGGGAGCCGAGCCGGCTGTGTGCAAGGGAATTCCCACGGGGAGGCACACAGCAAGCCAGCGCCTTTGGATCCGGGCTGGATCCAGCAGCCGAACAGCCGTGTTCAGAAGGGACCTTACTCAAGTCAATAAATCCCCAGGTTTGCTGCCTGTGGACCCAAGGCAGCTCCCGCTGGCTGCACCCAGTGTCCCGGGAGGCTCCGGCACCAAGCAGCAAGGGCCGGCAGCAAGAGCTGAAAGCGGGACGGAGCCTCCATGTGCTCAGCCCCCGCGAGCCCCCGACACCCGGCAGCCTCGTGCCCTTCGCCGCAGCCTGGCAGGAGGAGGGGGCAGATGCTTTGGGCAAGTACCGCAGCCCTCTCTGCAGGGCCAGGGCAGAGCCGGCCCCAGCAAACCCCCGCAGCCCAGTGTTCCCGGTCGGAGGCTTTACAGGAAGGTAACGCAGCCCAGAGCCCCGTGCTGTGATTCATTTATTGGAATGAGCCTGGCGTTACAGAGGAGAGTTGGCTTCCCTCCCATTCCCGTTTTATTTGCAAGGTATAAACACAGCAGAAATAGCAATAGATTCCTCTGACTCTTCTGTTTCTCCTTTTACTGGAAGATGAGCTCAAGCCTTGTGGCAATAATTAGCCTGCTTAGCGGTGTTAGCAGAGTGAGGGAGGGAAGGCTGGTGCCGGGAGCAGAGCGGGGTTTGGGGGGGATCCCTGCAGGCAGCGCAGCGGATAGCAAAGCTGGCCGGAGGGGCTGTGCCGACAGTCCCTCCGCACCCTCACACGTCAGGGCACCGGGACGGTCCTCCCAGGCAGCAAAGGGGGGAAGCCCAACGTGTTGAGAGAAGCTGTATCTTAAATAAACCCATTTCTAGCTTGCCTGTCAGCATCTAGCCCCCACGAGGGGCACATAGCCACCTCCAAGAGGGTCCTAGACCCTCGGGCAGCTGGGGCTGGGGGGGTCCTGCAGAGCAGACCTCTGTGTCCTAGCCCACAGCAGGGAATACAGACCAGCGTGTCCTAGCCCACGTCAGGGAATACAAACCCCTCCTCGGCCGCCTCCTGCACCAGGCAAGTTGAAGTGCATCCCCCGGCAGTGCCCCATCCCCTGCCCTGCACAGGGGACACCCAGAGACACCGGGGCCGAGCGGGAGAGCCGCTGGGAGCCGGCTGCAGCCGGGGCCAGCAGCATGGCAGGTGGGATACAGCAGTGCAGAGCAGCTGGATCCGTCCCGCAGAGGCTGGGGCCGCCTGAGAGCCCTGCGGGGTGCTCTCCCCTAGATTTGCCCCTCGGGGGTCATGGGGACGGTACCGGGGCAGGTTCCCACCAGCCCCTGTGGCTCCAGCACAGAAGCTGGGACCCCGGGTTGTGCATCATCCCCGAGCCCTGCACTCACTCAGCAGGGTGATGTCTTCTTTGGAAACGGGCAACTGCTTTAGTTTTCATTGGGAATATATCTGAGACTCCAAACCTATTATTTTAGCTTCAGAAAAATAACACAGTTGCCATTGATTTCCAATGGGGCAGTCGGGAGTGCTGAAAGCTTTCCAGAAACTGCATTACATTCTCGGTTACTTTTGCCTTCTCACTACAGATTTGTTTTCCAAGACAGACGGGCAGAGCTGCCTGAGCCAAGCGTTTCGTTTCAGAAGGATGGCAGTGATGAGGATTAGAGTCAACATGAAAGCAGATTAAAAGAAAAATGTAGGGCAAAGATTAACCATTTGAACTCATTTTCAGGGGAAAAAAGCCCCAAAACAACTGAATGCTGCTGCTGCCCCCCCTCTCCTCCTCCTCTCAGAGCTGCTGGTGCTTTGGTGGGCTGTGATGATTAATTCAAAAGAGACTGTCTGTAAAAGCGTGCAGGGTAAAGTGAACTCCAGAAAGTCCCTGAGCTCCCTCCCTTGCTGCCCTTTGTGAGCTGGTTTTGTAGCCCGGGGCTAGGCAGAGAGCAGGCAGCGAGCAGGCAGCGTGTCAAGGCTGGGCAGGCGGGCAGGGGGTCATGCGATGGGCTTCATCCCCGCAAGACGCTGCTGCTCCTGGGTGCAGCGTGGGCATGGGGCAGCTCTGCCTGCGGCTGCCTGCACCCAGACCCTGGACCCACAGCACTGTCACCCCGTCCTGGGCCCACGGCAGCGGGAGATGGGACAGTCGCAGGGACACTTTGCGGTGCCCGAGGTCTGCAGCCCGTGTCCTGCGGTGGGACGTCTGTATCCAGCAGCCCTGAGGAGCCTCCCTCGGGAGGCTGGGGCTGCATCCTGCAAACAGCAGCTCCTCTCCAGCGCTGCCACCGCCTTGCCCCCCCCTCTGCCCCGGGAGATACCTGCAGCACCCAGGCTGCTCTCGGTGGCAGGCTGAGAGGGGGTTTTGAAGTTACACGTTGCCCCCGGAGCAGGGCAGCATCCTTCTGCAGGCACATCACGCAGGGACGAGGCCGTCCCGCTTGCGTCACGTGCAGAGGCAGAGATCAGCCTGGAAGCAGTGAATTATGAAATACTCCGGGTAGCAGCTTACACTTTGGTCTATTTTCAGTCCATTGCTCTGCTCTTTGTCCTGATTTAAAGCACCGAAAATGGTTCAGCAACTCTCTTAGAAAAAGAAAAGGCATCGCTGGAGAAACGGAGCCTCCCACTCCGCCATGGGGCTGGACCTGCAGACACTGCCTTGGCCACGTCCCAGGGGCAAGCGCTGTGGCAGATGCCAGATCCCAAGGCTGCTTAATAACATATAAATTGCCAGAATCATCTATTTTTGGCTCAGCCTGTGGCTGGTGCTCTGAGATGGCTACGCTCACGCCGCAGGCTGGGCAGAGGCAGCACACTGGTGATAGCCAGTGCCCCGGCAGCCTTGGCGGGGAGCGGGGGGAGACACAGGGAGCGTGTGGGACGGGTGGGATGCTCCTTCTCAGTCCTGTTTGATTTCTCTTCCAGAGCTTACCCATGACCTGGAAATAAAAGAGCTGGAAGCCCGCCAGCAAGGTAAGAGCACAGGTTTGTGCACAAGATAAGATAAGGGTGAGCATGTGTGGGTGCGGGGGGGGGGGCACCCAAAGAGTCTGCAGCCAGAGGGGGCCCATCAGGACCGCCCAGGGAGGGGACATGGACCTTGTCTGCATGGGACAGTTGGTCTGAGGGCAGGGCTGCAGCTGGGAAGTCAGGGTGCACATTCACAGGCTGTTGGCAGTCCTGTTAAATGCCTAGGCAGCTACCCAGGAAGGTTTTGCATGGGAAAGCCAGCATCCCGAGGCTGGCTTTGCTAATGCCCTGACACAGACACAGACACAGCTCTCTTGGTTCATTAAACAGTCAGATTTGCCCTCAAAATAATCTTTCATATTCCAAAATAAGGGGGAGAAATGTCCTGGTGTATGAAAATGTCTGCAAGCTCCAGGCACCATCCCAGGCCTGGAACGAGCAGCAGAGAGCTGGCCAAAAGGCATTTCACAATGCGCTGTGCCCTCAGGCCACCCAGCCCCATGTCCTGCAGCCCCTCCTGGGGCAGCCCTGGAGCTGGGACAGGCAGCCCTGCCCAGCTGGAAAGCCCTGGCAAAGCCCTTCTCCATCCCAAAGGCAGCCTCATCCACCCGGGACAGGCAGATAGGACTGGGGGTAACTGGAAACCCGTGGGCAATTCCCGCATCGCGAGGCCGTCAGGGGCAGGACATCTGCCAGACCGGCATGGCACAGGGCTCTGGCGTCTCTCGGTGCTGGCAAACATCACACTGGCCCCTGGGACCTGATGGCCGAGGGCAGGTTTTCAAACAAAAGCCTGTGCTGAGGGACACAAGAGCGGGGAGCTGGTGCTGAGCTCGCCCTGATTTCGGCTCCTGTCCTCCAGCAACGAGTGCCCAGATGGGCAGGGGGCCTGGCTGCGGGCTGGGCTGGGCACTGCTCCTCTCCGTCCTGAGCATCCCTCTGCCGTAGCCCCCCGTCCGGACTCAGATGCTGCTGGTCCCCACGTCTCGCACACACACACGCACCCGCAGCCCTGAGCTGCGGAGCAGAGTCCGGCCAGCCTGGCGCCTGAGTGGGCTGCGTTGGGCAACTCTCCGGGTGGTGGACTCTGGCCGGTGGGGCCCACGGGCAGGAGCCGGGTGCTCTCCCGATGATGTGCCCGGCTCATCCAGCCTTCCCGGGCGGCTGCCGTCCCCTTGCTGGCAGGGCTGCGGTGCCCCAGGGTTCCCACCGCCATGGTCCCGCTCCATCCACAGCCCGGCAGGGAAGGGGTGCATGTCGGTGTCCCCGCGGTGTCCCTCTGGGCTCCGTCTTGCCTGGCCTTGCTTCTGTCCCAAGGTGCCACAGGCTGAGAGCACCCTCAATCACGCTGCTCCCACGGGTCACCAAATGCCACCGCATGGCTCCAGGTGACCCGTCCCCGTCCCCAAGAGCACCCAGCTCAGGCAGGGGCAGGCAGTGCTGCCTGGGTGCCTGTGGCCAGCAGAGGATGCTCTGTGAGCAGCTGGGCTCCTCTTCCTCCTCCGTCCCAGGGATGAAGCTGAAACTCATCCCTGGCGCTGCCTGGGCACAGTCCCTGGCATCGAGCTCCAGCCTGCACTTCGTCCTCAGAGCCGGGGCTGGCGGTGGCAGGGTGGGCAGCAGGGCTGCTCTCACCAGGGCTGGCACGGTTCACTCAGTGCTGGAACTGGCTCCAGGGAGATTTGGTGCTCCCAGTCCCGGGACCATCGCCAGGAGGGGGATGCGCAGCGGGTGATGCACACCCAGCCCCTCTCACCCCACCCCAGCTCCCAGCAGACCCCCGTTCCCACCTCGCCTCCCTCCTCCCGCTGAGCCCAGGGGTCCCTTCCCCACGCGGGTGGGCTCGCGGGAGGGCCTGGCGTCCAGCCCGCCCAGTGCCATCGGTGTGTCACAGACCATAATGTGCAGTGAGTCCCACCCACAGGTCTCTGCCCATCCTTCGGCCTTTTAATAGCTTACGAAGAGTATGATCACATATGCCACGTTTATGGGGCAACCACCTAATTTAAGATGCCATCAAATGATTGCTTTTCAAATGCCACTCGTAATAATTACTGCGTGCAACTGCCTCCCTTAAGATCTCATTAGAAAGCATTTTTCCTCCGCAGAAGACACTTAGGAGCTGAGGCTATAAAGCGGTTGCAAATCATATCGTAAAAAGCAGAGATTATTGCAGACAATGGGAGCAGGCCTGGGCAGGCACGGGTGAGCGCAGGCGGGTGCCAGCCTCGGCGGGGAGCGTTCGCTCCCCTCCCTGCGCCCCACCAAGGGCTGGGTGCAGGAGCTTGCAGCCGGGGCTGCCAGGGCCAGGAGTCCAGGCGCGGGCAGGGAGGGTGCACCAGGGCGGTCCGGCCCCCCAGTGCCCCTGTGCCGGGCTCATGGCATGGCCGCACAGCCCGGCCCTCCCGCGGCCCACCAAGCTCGGCTTCTTCACCCCAAGGGTGTGAGTCCCCCGCGCCGGCTGCTCCAGCTGCCACCTCGCACCCACGGGTGGGACGTGCCCCCCTCCCCGGGCGGCCCCCGTCCCCCAAACACCTCCCGGGGCTGAATGTGGGGAATGCAGCTGGTCACGAGCTGCGGCAGCCGCAAGCGGAAATCTGTGCCTGGGCCAGGTCCTCGGGGTCCCGTAAGAGCCCCGCGTGAGCAGCATGCCTTTCCTTTTGGAGATGATAACGCTTTTGGGCCAAGGACAGGAGCACTTTGAGCCACTGGCCCCCCACTCCGTCCCACCGTGGGGACACAGAGTGCAGAGGGGAGGTGAAACCCAGCTGCCACCAACACTCCAGTCTCCTCCTTCCCATTTTGGAGCATCCTTCCTAGGGCGTCACCTTCAAGACAGTTTTGCTGTCCCAAGTTCAAGGCCACCACCAGCAGAGGACCGCAAGCCCCCAGGAGACCCCCAGCACACAGGGCTCCTGGCCGTGCCAGCCTGCAGGAACATGTGCTCAGGGGGGATGCTCGGGCCAGCCCTGTCCCTTTGGGGTGCGGGGGTACCTTCCCTGGTGCACAGAATTAGATCCCCATGGACCCACACATGGCCATGGGGCAGAGCCTGGGTGCCCTTGCACAGGGCCACTTTCAGTGGGCCAGTGTGTTTCCATGGCGGATCGAAGGGTGCCTGGAGGAAAGGAGACAGTCACCGTGAAATGAATCGCTGCAGCTGCAATGCTTCCCCTCCACCCCCCACCTCCTCCAGCCTTTCAAGGGCATTAGGCAGAAGGGATTGGGGAAAGGCAAAGTTTTGTTACCCAAATTGCTCTACAGGTGTTCACTCAATGCAGTCTCTTGATGCCACCATGGCAGGTGGGATGGAGGAAGGAAGGAAGGAAAAATGGATGGATGGATGGATGGATGTCAGGCAGGTGTTATCCTCCCGCAGCAGGTGGAAGGGAGCCCACGCAGACTGGCCAGAGCAGCACAGGGTGTGCAGGAGCAGCGTGCAGGGCCCCACGTGAAGTCACACTTTTTCGGGTGCCTGTGCTGTGACTCAGAAGGGCTGGGGCAGGGAGGGCATCTGTCACCCGCCGAGGCGTGGGAAGGGCAGGGAGGGCAGTGGGAGCCATGGGGAACCTGCCGCTTGACACGGCACCTCTGTTTTAACACGTCCTGTCCGTGCCCCATCGCTGGCAGTCAGCTGCTGGCAGGAGCAGAAAGATGAACAGGTCAGGCGTTAGAAACCACAGGTGCCGGTGTGGTGAGCGCACAGCAGCCGAGGAGGGCTGGCTGCCCGGCCCTCCTGCCCCCCAGGACGGGCTCCCCCTGAGCCCGCTCCTCCCTCCTGGAGTGGAGGTTCCTTCCCTGCCGAGCACAGCCCAAATCCCAGGGCTTGAGGTCGACCAGCCCTCCCAAGAGGGGCTGATGGTTTCACTGTGGCCGTTTCCTTTTCTCTCCCAGCCCGTACGCTCCCCCGCGCCCTCTGCATGCGCTCTAAGTCACTTTTAGGGCGAAAAACGAGTTACCTAGGGAAATTTTAAAACTGCAGCACGAGGCTGCAGCGAGGCAGAGGCGGCAGGTTCCACGGCAACGGCGTCCTCCGCCGAAACTGCCTGTGCTGTCACCCCCGCCGCGTTTGGGTGTCACGCATCGCACCGTGCCCGCAGCACCGCGGCTCTGGGCGTTCAGGGGTTCCCGTGCCTGCCCGCCCTGTGTGGGGAAAGGCTCATGCAGCTCACGGTGCATTTGGGAGCCCCGGCCCCAAAAAGCACCCAAGCAGCCTCGATGGCACTTGCTGGGCCAGTGGCTGCGCCCCCCCTGCCCTCGCAGCCACATCGGGAGTGTGTGGGGACCCGCCGGGGCGGCGGGCTGAGCCCCCGCTGCCTCCCCCCCCCGACCCCCTTCTGTGCTGTCCTGGTTTCAGCTGGGATAGAGTTAATTGTCTTC